AATACTTTCAAGGGAATCACAGAAAGGCTGAGATTGGAAGGGAGCTCTGGATGTCGTCTTGTCAAGGCTGCCTGCTCCAGCAGAGACAGCTAGAGCCGTTTACCCAGGTTCATGTCCAGCGTGCCGTTCAGTATCCTTTCTCCTGTCACTGGGCACCACCAGAAAGAGCCTGCCCCCATCTTCTTTGCAGCCTCCCTTCAGGCCTTTTTATGCCTTGAGCAGATCCCAGGCTCAGAAGAGCCTTCTCTTCACCGGGCTAACAGTCCCAGCTCACCCAGCCTTTCCTCACAGGAGAAATGCTCCACTGCCTTCATCATCTTCATGGCCTTTTGCTGGACTCTCTCCAGGATGTGCATCTCTCTCTTGTACTGGGGAGCCCAGAACCAGACGCAGTGCTCCATGTATGGCATCACCAGCGCCAAGCAGAAAGGAAGGATCACCGTCCTCGACGTGCTGGCAAAAGCCTTCCTAATGCAGCCCAGGGCACTGTCAGCCTTCCCTGTGGCAAGGGCACATTGTTGGCTCATGATCATCTTGGTGGCCATCAGAACCTTCAAGGCCTTTTCTGCAAAGCTGCTTTCCAGCTGGGCAGCCCGCTGCAAGTGCTGGTGCCTGGCGGTGTCCCTCCCCAGGTGCAAGAGTTTTTACTTCTTCTTGTCCAAGGTCTTGGGGCTCCTGCCATGGCAGGGTGCAACCCTGGGGTGGTGCAGAGAGCAGCACCAAGTCCTGAGTCCACACAGGAGGAGAGATCTGGCTGCCCCCATAGTGAGGCTGCACCAGGCAATGCAGGCTGGGAGGAGAGCAGAGCCCCGGGACATGGGGTGGTGGGCGATGGGTACGGGCTGGCCCTGGAGAGCCCCGGCTGGAAACATCTGCTCCAGGACCAGCTGCAGAGATGCCGGCCCGGAGCTGCGCATCACTTGCCTTCGGCCACTTGCCTTCTGAGCAGCACTTGCCTTCTGATTGACTTGTGGGCTGGCGTGTGCCCCAGTTGTTGTCCCGGCACTGGTTTTGGCAGCTCCTGGGCCCTGGTTCAAGTGTTGCTGGTGGAGTGGCCTCTTAGGTGGCTGGGAGGAGTCCTGGGAGCTGCCAGTCCTCCTCTTCAGGGCTCGGTGTGTCCCCCCAGGGCAGTGGTCCCTGCCCCAGCTGGGAGTGGAGGGACCAGCCACAGCCTCCCGCAGCTCCTTGTGCGGCTCTTCCTGCTCCCCGTGAGTGGGAACAGGGGCGTTGGTGGGGCTGCCCCACAAAAAGCAGCCGATGAGGTGGTGGGGAGCTCTTCTGCCTCCGATCGGTCAGGGCGGCTGGAGGGGGCTGAGCTGGGGGCAGGAGATGCCCCTCGGAAGGCAGTGGGGCTGTGGGCAGTCACGGGGCTGTCCTCCTGCCCCTCAGCTTCATGTCCACATGTGCGGCCGGCCCAGGGTTAGCCGGCCCCTGAGGACCCTCCCAGTGTCACCGGTGGCGGGGTGGCTTCCTGGGAGGCTGGGAAGGGTCCTCAGAGCTGCCGGCCCTCCTCTTCCGGGCGCGCCGGGGCCCCTCGGCGGGGCGGTCCCTCCCCTGGCTGGCTGTGGAGGGCCCTGGCACAGCCTCCCCTGGGTCCCGGTGGGCCTCTTGGTGCGCCCCGCCGGGGGGAACGGGGGTGGAGAGGGAGCTGTTGGGACCCCCAGGAGGAGCTGGGCTGGGGGCAGGAGACCCCCCTCGGGAGCCAGCAGGGCCGAGGGCAGTGGTGGCTCTGTCCTCTGGCCCCCCTGCAGCACGGCCACCTCCCAGGCCTACCCAGCGTCGGGCCTCCCCGCTGCAGCGGCGCCCCGCCGGGTCCATCCAC